AAGGAAGGAAGGAAGGAAGGAAGGAAGGAAGGAAGGAAGGAAGGAAGATAGCAATAGCACTTAAACTTATATACCACTTCACAGTGCTTTAAAACCCTCTCTAAGCAGTTTACAGAGTCAGCCTATTTGCCCCCAACAATCTGGGTCCTTAGTTTACCCAGCTCAGAAGGATGGAAGGCTGAGTCCACCTTGAGCCTAATGAGATTCGAACTGCCAAATTGCAGGCAGCCGGCAGTCAGCAGAAGTAGCCTGCAGTACTGCGCCACCGAGGCTTGCTTAACTCACGGTTAAGTGAGTTTTGTCCAACTTTACGACTTTTCTTGCCACAGTTGTTAAGTGAATCACTACAGTTCTTAAATTAAAAAGTTGTTCATTGAATCTGGCTTCCCCATTGACGTTGCTGGTCAGAAAGTCAGAAAAAAAATGACATGGGAAACTGAAACCATCATAAATATGAACCGGTTGAATTTTGATCACGTGACCATGGGAATGCCACAACGGTCATACGTGTGAAAACCAATCATGTGATTTTTTTCCCCCAGTGCCATTGTAATTTTGAATGGTCATTAAATGAATAGTTGCAAGTCAAGGACTTATTTAGTTTAGTTTAGTTTACTTTATTATCATTGCACATACAACAAAATTAAATACCATCTTCAGTGTACATTATGACTATGAAAATAAACACAAACACACATCTTTCGCATTCTATACATTGAATTGAAACCCCCTGATATTGCATTAATATTGCACTACACAGTAGAATTCAATAGAGTTACTGCCCTGGGATAGAAGCTGTTTTTCAGCCTATTTGTCCTTGTTTTTATTATCCTGTACTCTCTGCCAGATGGTAATAGTTTAAAAAAAAGGCTTCCCAGGATGAGGTGGATCTTTGAGAATGTTTTGAACTTTCTTAAGGCAACAGGAGCTATAAAGCTCTTCCAAAGAGAGGAGAGGGCAACCAATGATCCTCTGGGCAATGACCTTCACCCTCTGGAGTGCTTTCCTATCTGCCATTGTGCAATTGGCAAACCATACAGAGGTGCAGTAAGTTAAGATACTCTCTATGGTGCAGCGGTAGAAGATCACCAGCAGTTTTTCATTCAGTTGTTGTTTTCTAAGAAGTCTTGGGTTACCTGTATGATTCTCCTCTTCCAACCAGAAAGACCACTTCATTAAGCTGAAAAGTTTTTTCAGAGGGCAAAAAGGGAGAAAAATATGATCTGGCTTTCTTTATCACTTCGAGCAGCTAAGGTGACATGATGTGTCCTTATAAAATACTGGAGAACACTTTCTAGGCCAAATGGTTTTGGTTTAGCTTCAAGAACTAATCTCCATATTCTATTTTTCCTCCTTCTTATGTTTTGTCTATTAGGACTGCAAGCCGGCCTGTTGTCTTCAAAATATTTACCAAACTTTAAGCCTCTTAGCAAACAAGATAGCCTTTCAAAACTATATGCCTCTTTTAAAATGGCGTATTTAGCTTACTGCCTGACTAACAAGGGTCTGATGACACAGCAGTAATCACACAACCCTTGCTTATTGGTTTGTCCCTCTTCAAAATAATTTTTGGCTGTGCTATCCCCGTAATGAAATTGCTGAAGACCCCACAATATCTAGTAGGGTAAAGAATGGTACTTACGCTTTGCTGATAACAGGTATTCATTCCCTGATAATCTTCGTAGTCCATCCTATTGAATAAAGTTGAAAAGAACGTGGAATGAAATAAAGACCCTTCTTAAGCCTTTGGGATAGGTAATGGACTAAAGGGAATATAAATCAGGAAATGTTGTGTGAACTGTCTATCCAACTTTATCTAGTCCAGAAACAAGAACCAGATTCTCAATTGGTTGGAGTTAAGCAAATTCTATTATCCTTGATCCTAAAAGAAATATGCTAATTATCACTTTTTTTCTTCCTTTTAACGACCCTGGAATCCCTTGCATCAGAGCGGAGTTGGGGCAACTGGATGGAGCTGAGAGTTTACTAGCCAGATGCCCTTCACAGTGTTCACAGCAGACATTGTGCCCAGAGAGAGAAATATCTACCTAGAATTGAACTCATAGCCTTCTGATTGTGAGGGGAGAGCTCCACCACTAGGCCAACACGTTGCTCCTATGCTAATTATCATTTAATTGGCTTTAAAAATGGCTTGTGGAAGGTACAGTAAAGTAGGTGGCCTATAAGATCTAGGGCAACGTTCACAATTTGGTACCCACCAGATTCAACTTCCACTTTACTTATCCAGAAGGAACTTGGATGAGGAGTTCTGGAGCTTTCTTGGTAGCAGAACTCCATTTATTGAGTTCCTTGGCTAAACTAACCTGCACGACCAATTTTATCCCTTTCAAAGGAAGGCAGGCAAACCCAGGAGTGGTTTTGAGCAGAGATTTCCCTTCTAATGCAATTGTTCCAGATTGAAACCCCATAGGTTTTCTTTTGTTTTGACAGTTTTCTGGACAGCTGCCTTCGTGTTTATTTATTTACTAGCTCTATACCCGTGCTTCACTTCGAAACTATGTGATCAGGCTTAGTTTTTGAGGAGGAAAATAAGGGAAAAAAATTCTGCCTCTGCCTACCAGCATCCATCGGTATTCATCTGGCTAGCGTCTTGTCAGTGTGTGAGAGTTGAGGGCTGTTTGGAAACTGAAACAGTATTTGCTATGTGAGCAAGAAGGAGACAGCAAAGAGCCTGGGCGTGGCTTAGCTCAACTGTTCTGTACTAAAGCTCCTTGGTGCTGTGAAACTAAAACTGAAACTGAAACTCCTCTCCTCTGTTTGTGTTTTGCATTTGGCACAGATTTCTTTTCAGATGGGGAGGGGGAGTAGATCTCCTTAGCATCAGAGCGTGTTAATAATAATATATGGAATACTAATGCTCTGGTGGTCATTTCAAAAAATCCTTTCTTAGTGAGCACCTAGAAGCCAAGAGGAACATATGTGCCAAATTTCAAGTTTGTAGGCTTTACAGTTCTGGAGATTTTGTGATGATGCGTGAGGGGTATTTCGCTTTTATATATATAGGTTAAATTTCTATGTCGGCTATCTCTCCTACAAGGTGATAAAAACCTCCTCTGTCTTGGTCAAGAAGCCATCCATGAATTTAAAAGCAAACCAGATTACATGCCTCTTCAGACAAAGAACATTGTCAAAGCCTTCTTTAAAAAAGCAACTTTTTCTACTGAAGAGGCTAGCAACTCATCATTTTAAAATAGACAGGGTGTTATGGCCTGTCGGCCACCGGCCCCTCCAATGGCCAAATCAGAGGAGGAGGAGGAGGTGTGGGAGTCAGGGTCAGCATCCGAGGAGGAAGAGGGGATGGAGCTGGAACAGAGAGACAGATGCAGAGTCTGGGCCACCCGTCAGCCCTCATATGGAGAGTCAACAGACCCCAGGTCTGGAGGTGGCTGATGAGGAGGAGGAGGAGGAGGAGGAACAGTTGGGTCCAGTGCCTGACGTGCAGATGCACAAAAGGCAGAGGAGAGGAGAGCAGTGGAAATCCATGGGCTGGTCCTTGGGACGGGAGAGCCACCGCTGCTAGCGAAGCCCCACCCTAGCTCTGGGGATAAAAGGCAGAGGGCGGAGATGAATAGGGGTGGCAGACAACTATTCATCTTCTGGACGGACAGACTTGTTAGCCTGTGGTGAGAGACAAACTTTTTGCCGGGTCTGCCGGCGCTCCTGATAAAGGAATCGTTGAGTTAGGTTCAGAGGGTTTGTTGTGTTTGGGGAGCTGGGTGAGCAAGAAGTTTCTAAACAGGGTTTAGTGCAGCAAATTATCCAGCAGAAGGGTAAGCTGATTTTTTTCATCTAAAACCAGTTGGGCTGATCAATGGAAGCTGCAAGAAACTCTTTGTCAATATATTTCCAGACCTGCAGCTTGCACAGAAGCAATGGCTCAGGATTTACTATCGTTGCAAGATGGCTCCGGTGAGCAGACCTGGAATGCCATCAGGCGTTCCAACAAACAAATTCAAATACTTTGAGATTTTAATTACCGTCATCAAGCCACCGACAAGGTCATTTGTGTGTGGATCTTCATCTTTGGTGCCAAGCTGTGGAGAATACAACTCAGTAGTCCTCAGAATCTCCAGGACTCTATCCAACGCTTCAGCCACTGGCATGGGACTGCTTTCTTGAGCAGCGTTGATAATATTTATTACCTACAAAAAAGAAAAAAAGAAAAAAAGAAAAAAGGAAGAAAGAAAGAAAGAAAGAAAGGAAGGAAGGAAGGAAGGAAGGAAG